CTACACGCAACATAGGGCTTGAACTCATGACCCCGAGACAGAGTCACACGCTCTGCCAACTGAACCCCACAAATGTTATTTTTAAAATACTTAAATTTAGGGGCGCCTGGGTGGCTTAGTCGGTTAAGCGTCTGCTTTCGGCTCAGGTCATGATCCCAGGGTCCTGGGATCGAGCCCCGCATCGGGCTCCCTGCTAAGCGGGGAGCCTGCTTCTCCTTCTCCCTCTGCCTGCCACTCTACTCGTGCTCTCTCTCTATCTCTCTGTCAAATAAATAAATAAATAAATAAATAAATCTTAAAAAAAAAAATTTAAATTTAAATTTAACAAATTTCTTATTGGGATAAAATTCACATAACATAAAATTAACCTTTTTAGCGTACCGTTAGTGGTATTTTGTCCATTCACGATATCGTGCAACCACTACTCCTAGCTAGTTCCAAAACATTTCATCAACCCCAAAGGAGAACCTGCATTAAACAGTCAATCCCCATTTCCCCCTTCCCCCAGCCTCTGGCCACCACCAGTCTGCTTTCTGTCTCTATGAATTTACCTATTCTGGATCATTCACATAAAATGTATCATACAACATGTGACATTTTGTGTGTGGCTTTGCTCACTTAGCACCATGTTTTCAAGGGTCATCCATGTTCTAACTTGTACCAGTACTTCACTCCTTTTTATGAATGAATAATATTCTGTGGTGTCGATACACCACATTGTATTTATCCATTAGTCTGTTGGTGGACTCTTGGGTTGTTTTTACCTTTTGGCTGTTGTGAATAGTGCTGCTGTGAACGTGGGTGTATAGGTCTTTGTTTGAACCCCTGTTTTCAAGTCTTTGGGGTATCTCCTTAGGAGTGGAATTGCTGGGCCATATGGCAATTCTATGTTTAACTTTTTTTTTTTTAAGATTTTATTTATTTATTTGAGAGAGAGAGAGAGAGAAGGAATTGGGGGGGAGCAGCAGAGGGAAAAAGAGAAGTAGACTCCCCACTGAGTGGGGAGCCCCACGTGGGGCTCGATCCCAGGACCCAGAGATTATGACCTGAGCCGAAGGCAGATGCCCAATGAGCTGAGCCACCCAGGAGCCCCTCTGTGTTTAACTTTCGAGAAACACAAGTTGTTGTTGTTGTTGTTGTTTCCCTCAAAGGCAGAAACACAGACAAAGAGCCCAGGACTCTGGAGTCCCTGCCTCCCCCCATTCCAGGTATCCCAGCTGGGACATGTCAGCACACAGACTCTGTGGAGCCTGGCCAGCTCCTCTGGACAGGACATGCTCAGTGAGGAAGCACAGAGAGAGAGGAAGAAAGTATCTTTTGAATACAAGGTTAAGCCCAGGTGTAGGGCAGAATTGAGGAGAGGAAAGAGAGAGACAAAAGGCTGAGTAGGGACCCGTTATAAGAGACAGGAGCTGTAGAATGAGCATCAAGGCCTTGGAAGAGCCCCGTGGGCTGAGCCACACCAAAGCTTTCTCTGTCCTTGGAAGGGGAACTAGTTCTCCGAAGCCTGCACTCAGGCCCCGAGGCCTGCGCTGGTGGCGAGGCTGGTCTGAGATCTGTTGCTTGCTGAGTTCAGGTTGTGGGCCATGAGGGGCTCCTGCTCACAGCGGCTGCATTTGGCTGCGAGCCTGAAGCCCAGGCTCAGGAGACCGTGAGTCAGACAGGAGACCCTGGAGTTGTGGTACACAGGATAAGCCTCTCAGCAGAGCATCCTGGAAATGCATCAGAGCCCTACACACAGCCGAGGAGGAGGAATTTGGCATCATTCATTCATTCATTCATTCACTATGCACCTGCTGCACACTATGCACTGGCCTAGAGCCGAGACTGTCAGTGGACACTGGATGGGAAATGTCAGGAGCTCCTGTGTGTCCCACCAACTCCTCAGCTATGTATGTACAAGAGCCCACCCAGCTCTGGCCAAGGGCCATCTGTGCTCCCAGAGCGGAGACTTCCAGCCTTCCTTCCCCCTCGGCCCCTAAGGTACACCAGCAGCCTCTGATATGGCTGCAGGGGGGTGGTGTCCTGGAGGCCCTGGGTGAGTGGACAAGGCCGGGCCTGGCCAGGGCGGCAGGGAGGGACATGCGCAAAGGGCTTCTTGCCCTGCTGTCAGAGTCATTGTTGCATGGCCGAGGTTGTACCAACCCTCAGAATGGAAGATATTCTGAGAGCCAAACATAGCTTGCAGGCCTAATGCCTTGCACTCAGGGCCCAAGTAGACAGCTGCGGTCTGCATTACTGTTCTGTGATGTTTATTGAGCTGGGATGGATGCAAGACCATTTACTAGGGACGAGACTCCCAAGTCTGGAGGGGCAATCACTGCCCCGAGGGAAGAGTCCATGGAAAGATGTGTAAGTTCACAAGCTGATGGTAGTGGAAGCCACCAGGCGCTGAACTAGCACAGACTGGACAAGGGCCACAGAGAACATATGACACATGCCCCGGATCTGGCCAAGGGGTCTCTGCAGGGTGGGATGGGGGACGGCTCTCTAATGGCCTGAGGAGAGCAGGTGTTTTGAGCTATTGGCTAATTAAGAGAAGAAAGTCCAGAAACAGGGTAAGTGGGAAGGTCAAATTCAGGGACAGGGGCGCCTGGGTGGCTCAGTCGTTAAGCGTCTGCCTTCGGCTCAGGTCATGATCCCAGGGTCCTGGGATCGAGCCCCGCATCAGGCTCCCTGCTCTGCGGGAAGCCTGCTTCTCCCTCTCCCACTCCCCCTGCTTGTGTTCCCTCTCTCGCTGTGTGTCTCTCTATCAAATAAATAAATCTTTAAAAAAAAAAAAATTCAGGGACAGAAGTAAGAGGGTCACTGAGACCTAGATGCAAGAGATCAGGGGCAGGGCTGGCCACGCTAGGACGAGCCAGCAGCCAGCTCGGAGGAGATGATGGGGAAGGCACCAGACCCAGGGTGCACTGGGAGATCAGAGCTGACGTGAATGACAGAGTGGCCTTTGGGACAGCCAGAGTGAGCAGAGCAGGTGAGATGAAGCTGCCTGAGCAAAGTTGGTGGGACATGTGTGGGGTCTCTGGTGGGCCCCAACACTTATCGGCACTCCTGAGCAGTGTTGTTCACCCACCCCGCCCCACCCACCATGCTCACTGTGTGCCTGTGGATCTCATTTCCCCTCACAGCAACCACCCGAAAGGTAGGTACCATTATCTTCCCCGTTTGCCAATGAGGAAACAGAGCTTCAGAGAGATCTGGTCAAGGTCACACAGTAAGTGCCAGAAACAGGACTTGAACTTTGGTCTGCCTTATCTCACAGATTATGCCCTGTTCCTGAAAAGATGCTCAACAGCACTAGTCTTTAGTGATGTAAATTAAATGTAAATTAAAACCACAGAAATACCAACACGTGCCTATTAGAGCGGCTAACATCAGAATAACCAAGGATGCCGAGGCAGGGGTGTGGAGCAAATGGAATGCTCAAATGCTCTGGTGGGAATGCAAAATGATGCAAAACAGTTTGCCAGTTTCCTAGAACATTAAACAGATCCTTCCCATATGGCTCAGCAGTGATTTCCACCCCTGGGTATTTACCCTGGAGAAATGAAAACAGGATCACACAAAAACCGCCCACAGATGCATATAGCAGCTTTATTAGTAATCGCCCCAAACCGGAAGCAACCCAGCTAACCTTCAACCAGGGAACGGATAGACACTGTGCAGCGCATCCACACAATGGAATACTACTCAGCCACAAAAAGGAGCCAACCATTGACACAGGCAACAACACAGATGATTCTCAGAGGCGTTATGCCAAAGGAAGAAAGCCAGATCCAAAAGGCTACATACCGCGTAACTTGGCATTTTGGAAAAGTCAACTGCAGGGTTAGAGAACAGATCAGTGGTTGTCAGGGCTGGGGTGCGGGAGGGGTTGATGACAAAGGGACCGCAGGAGGGAATTTTGGGCGAGATGGAGCTGCTATGTGTCCTGATTGTGGCAGTGGTCATAGGACTGTTTGTGTTTGTCGAAGCTCCCAGGATTGTACAATAAAAAGAGAGAATCTCATGGGTATAAATTACACACCAAGTACATGCCCTCACTCTGACTCAGCACTGCGTGCTGGAGAGAAAATCTGTACAGAGAGGAGAAAGGCCGGCCTTCTAGGTGAGGGGCAGCTTGAGCAAAGACCAAGATTTGGGGCAGGGGAGCGTGGGCCCGGAGTGGAGGCTTTGGGGGGGAGCGCAGCAGGAGAGGAGGCAGGTGGGGACTGCTGCGGACATGTCCATTATCTGGCCAACAGCTCTGGCCTTCAGCCCATATCTCAAGAAGACTGTAGCGAGGGCAGTTGCTAGAAACAGATGGAACGGTGGGTGGGGTATGGTAGATCATGGGGCCAAGGGACCCAAGCCAGGGAAATCCCTCTATCCTTGACTTGGCTCCCCAGTGCCCTCCCCTCCCCCACCGGGCTGCAGCCCACATGGCACTTCTCCAGCTAACTTGCCCCTACCCACTGGTCCCAGCACCTTGGTGCCATCTGTGCAAAATCACATGGTAGAATCATAGAGGATGATAGGAACCAGCCACTGGATTTGCGAATCAGTTGAATAGACTTGCTATCAAAATTCTGGAATAGATTGTTGAGTAGGGGTGCATGGTGAGCCCTTAAAAATGGGCTCCCAGGGCTCACTGCCTTCATTTTTTCATGTTTTGGTTGCTTTGCTGTGGCTGTCTGGCCACCACTGGGACACAGTCCTAGCAGTTCCTAAGATGTAGACCCACTGTGACAAATGGGCTGGGAGCAGCTGTTGTAGGATTCCCATCCCTAGGGAGGTTGCAGGGGGTCTGGCCAGGGAAGGCTGTGAATTCATTGTGGACCCAGAGATCAAAGAGGAGGCTATGGGAGCCACAAGGCTTGCCTAGAATCTCTCCATCTTCTCCATAAAGGTTTGGTCTGTGGAGCTCTACAGAGGAGCTGAAGTGTTTGGAATGAACCAGGCTGTAGATGTTGTCAAACCTCAGGACATCTGCATTGAGGTACAGACATTCAGACAGAGTGCCCCACCCAAGACCTCGCCCTCCATGGTGTAAATCCCTGTGCCGGGACCCAGACCAGGGAGCCCTTGTCATGCCTGAGAGCCCAAAGCCAGCTATACACTCTGTCTACTGGAGCCAGGGGCCCCTACCTGGTAAAACCTGGATGCACATCAAGACTCCAGCCCCCGGCCCCCAGCTCCAAGTGGAGCTGTTTCCTGCCAATACTTAAAGACGCCGGCCTTGAGGCAGGTGAGGCTCCCGTCCTCAGGGACCACGTGGACTTCGTAGCGCTGGATGGGCAGCACCTCCACCAGCTCCCCTGCCCGCTGCCACTCGCTCATCTTGGTCTTCAGGAAAACCCCGAAGCCGATGTCTGCCCCTTCTGATGCGAATTGCCACCTGCAGGAGACAAGGCCCCACTAATGCCACCTGCCCGGGCTCCGGGCCCCTCCCGACTGTGCCCAGGGCTGCCGTGGCCGCCTACCTGAGCACACAGCCCGGGAACAGGATTTCGTTCTCCAGCTGCATGAAGGAGCCTCGGGCCACGGTCACTGTGTGCTCATAATTCATCCTCACCTGGTTGCGCAGGTAGTAGTTCTTGGGCACATTGCCCCCGTATTTGATCTGTGGGTGAGGGCTGGTGAGCGAGCACTACCCCATGGTCATCACCCCTCATTTCCCATCCTTGGGAAGGGCATCCTTGGTCAGGGTCAGGCCCTTGGGGTTGCCATCAAGTCATTCATGGTGCCCCCAAACTCCATGGGCGGCTGGTCAGGGTGGATAAACTTGGCAGCCCCTGCTCAAGGAGGAGGAGTGGGGACTTGTGGGGGCTCAGGGAAGCTCGCCAAAGACCAGAGAGGCAAAGCCCAGGGCTGTCCTGTGGCATACTGCTCCCCGTTCCTGGCATGCTTCTGGTACCCCTGGGGGCAGAAGCCTAGAGGCTCTAGGTCTCAGCTTAGGTAGCTGTTCCTGCCCCCAGGCCTGCCCTTCCAGACCTGGGACCCTGCCCCCATCTCTCGAGGTGTTGGCCCATTGGCCATCTTAGTCGGGACTCAGACTAGCACATTCTGGAACCTAAAGTTGAGGAGAGGCTGTCTCTGACCTGGGCTTCCTTTTCCTTAGAGACTGAGCTTCCAGTCAACCTGCTTTTACAGCTCCAGCACCCCCAGAACTGGGGGGCAAGCTTGTGTCAGTTCCTGCACAAGCTGTTCTGAGATAGCCAATGGTGGTCCACAGACAAAGGAATAGGGTCATTGTAGGAACAAAGTAGAAGAAAGCAGAGGTAAATACCTAACATATCCTGTGATAGGTATGAATTACTTATGCATAAAAGCAATGGAGAAATCAAAGGAAAAGCCTCTCAAATGAAACAACATAACACAAAGTCAAAAGTCAAAGATAGCAACAAACTACAAACTGGAGAAAATGCCACAAATATGAGAGAAAAGGTCAATGTGCTTAATATGTAAAGAACACTTATAAATCAATAAGAAAAATACTTTTCTAGAAAATGGGTAAGAGACACCAGAGACACCAGAAAGCAACAAATAAACAAAAAATTAAAATAGCCCATTAGCACGAAGAAACATTTGAACCTCACCAGTGATAAAAAAAAACCCAATGCATTCCCTTAGATTCAGACAATGATGTCATCACAAATAGCCTCTGGAAAACTCTGGTGTACACTCATGAGAGGATGGGAGTAAAAAAGGCAAATAACATTTAGGTGTTATTATGAAAAATTGTGTAGACCTTGAGGGCCCCCTGAAAGGGTCTTGGGAACCCTGAAGGGAGTTATTAATTAAATATAAATATTAAATATAAAACTAAATAAATAAATATTTTAAAAAATAACATAACAATAGAGCTCTTCACCACTGCCAGCCACTCTTCAGTCCTCAGATTTATTTCTTTATTTTTAAGATTTTATTTCTTTATTTAACATGGGGAGGGTGGAGAGCAAACACAAGCAGGGGGAGCGGGAGAGGGAGAAGCAGCCTTTCCGCTGAGCAAGGAGCCCGAGACGGGCTCGATCCCAGGACCCGAGCCGAAAGCAGATGCTTAACCGACTGAGCCACCCAGGTGCCCAGTTCTCAGATTTATAATTCAAGAGGTTCATGGAGCTGATGGAACTAGCTCTGTCCAACTGAGAAAGTGGGGCTGCCAGGAAGGGGATATTTAAGTCTAACATATAGAACCACTCCCCTGGAACCTTCTGCAGCCTTTCAACTACACTAGAGAAGAAGACATTTTTTAATGACTTGGGGAAACGTTCCTGAAATTATCAGCGAACAAAACAGTATATCATGTAGGAGCTCTATTGTGTTAAAAAAAATTATATGTAAAGTAACCTCATGGTATTGGTGGGATTACAGGTTATTTCTATGATCTCATGGCATTTTTGTGTACACTTTCTAGATTTTCCATGATGAGTGTGGCCTGATATTATGATCAGAAAAACACCCAGTGGGTGTTATAAAGAAATGGAAATCAGGTCCTACTTAGCAGTCCCAGTAGGCTGGCAAGGACAGTGCTCTGCCCCAAGGCCAACCCCAGCTGCTGGGGCCACCCCCCGGCTCTCCAGGAGCCAGCACTGTGTCTCTGGGCTCACACTCCACTTCTTACCTGCTGCTACAGCCCTTTGGCTAAGTGCCCCTAGCTGATGAGAACGGAGTGGTTTCACTTGGTCCCCAGGGCCCCAGCACTGGTCTCTGCATTGATTTCACATGGGCCTCATGACAACCCTGCAAGGTGGGCAGAAGGGTCTAGGTTCCCACGAACAGACAAGGAAACTGAGACCCAGCAGAAGGGTGTCGCCTGCCCCAGGTCCCACCCAGCTAGTAAGAGGCAAGATTTTATTTATTTATTTGTCAGAGAGAGAGAGAGAGAGCACAAACAGGGTGAGTGGCAGGCAGTGGGAGAAGCAGGCTCCCTGCTGAGCAGGGAGCCCGATGTGGGGCTCGATCCCAGGACCCCGGGATCATGACCTGAGCTGAAGACAGCCGCTTAACCGACTGAGCCACCCAGGTGTCCCTAGACTGGGTCTTTAGGATTCCAGCTAGGATTCTTTTCTGCTTTGGTGGCAGTTTGAGGGACATTTGTAGGTGGAGAGAACTGTCTGAGCAAAGACTTTGAGCTGGGGAAGTGTCATAACTTGTATAAACTATATACCTGTTCAGAGGCAAGTTGCCCTGACAGATTTACAAAAGCTGTGGATCACATATTAAGTATTCTGAGCTCTCTCTCTCCATTCAGGCATGTGAATTACTGTGTACTCTGCACTAGCTGGGGTGTGTGTGATCGTCAACGTGGTTTTATGTATGTATGTATGTATGTATTTATTAAAGATCTTATTTGTTTGAGAGAGAGAGCACAAGGGTTGGGAGGGAGCAGGGAGCCCAACACAGGACTCAATCCCAGGACCCCGGGATCATGACCCGAGCCAAAGGCAGACGCTTAACCGACTGAGCCCCCCAGGCACCCATTGACATGGTTTTATATTGGTTTCCTCCCAGCAGCCAAAACTGATACCAGCCTTATTCCACTGAGAAGCAGTCTGAGCGTGGGAACTCTGGCCACATTCTCAGGGCCATGGAAAAGGGGTTTCTTGTCTGTGCATTCAGGTTCCTGGGATTCCAACATTTATCTCAAGAGCAATTCTCTTCTCTATTCTTTTTCCCCAAGCTCTTTCTCTGGGAAGATGGTAAACAGTGGCCTCTAAAGTCAGACTCACCTGGCTTGGCCGCTTGCTAGCTGAGTGACTTTAGTCAAGTGGTTTAACCTCTCTGAGCCAGTTTCCTCCAATGCAAAATGGGGCTGATAATAGTACCTACATCACTGGGTTGTTGTGCAAAAAAAAAAAAAGGCAATGATAAACACAGATTATCTTACTCAGTGCCTGGCACAGAATAAGTGCTCAAAAGATAGTAGTCATTATTGTAACTCCTGGCAGTAGCCACCCAAAATGGCCCCCCATGAGCCATACCTCCCGGTTTTCACCCCCTTGTTTAGTCCCCTCTGACACTAAGCTGGGCTGATCTGTGTAACCAAGAGGATACTGCAGAAACGATGGGGTATGACTTATAAGGCTTGGTCATAATGACGTTGCCCCTTCTTCCTTGCTCTCTTGGATCACTTGCTCTGGGAAAGCCAACTGCCATGTTGTCCAGAGAATGCCCTGTCGGGGAGGAACTGAGACCCCTACCAACAGCCCAGCACCAACTTGCTAGATACAGAAGACAGCTTGGAAGCAGACCCTCCAGCCCCACTCAAGCCTTCAGATGACTGTAGTCCTGGCTGACATCTCGACTGTAACCTCGTGAGAGATCCTGAACCAGAACAAGCCAGCTATACCACTCCATAATTCCTGATCACAGAAACTGGGAGATAAGAAATGTTTGGGATGTCTGGGTGGCTCAGTCAGTTAAGCATCTACCTTTGGCTCAGGTCATGATCTCAGGGTCCTGGGATCAAGTCCCGCATCGGGCTCCTTGTTCAGTAGAGGGGGAGGCTGCTTCTCCCTCTGTCTGCCGCTCTCTCTCTCTGACAAATAAATAGTCTTTTTTTTTTAAAAAAGAAATGCTCATGGCCATTTTAAATGGCTATGTTTTGGAGTAATTTGTTATAATTGATATAGAGATAGCAATAGATACCTAATACACTCCTCTTTCTGCCCATGACCTTCATTCCACTCCATGCTCTGTCCCCAATTTAAGCCGAAGTAGGAGGCAGTCATTATGAGGGCTGGGCAGGACAGATAGCACATCCTGGATATTGTCCCGGAACAAAGGACAGAGCAGGGAAATACCCAGGTCAGAGGGCTTCCATAGGGCCATCAGGGGATTGGCCAGCCACCCTCAGGCCGGCAGATCTCACCTACCCTTAGGAGAGGACCCACTAGTGCTAGGGAAACCAGGGCCTGGGGCAAGTCAGGCAGTTAGCTTTCTCCGTCTGGGAAATGGGATAATAACAAGCCAGTTGCCCAAAGCTTCAGAAAGGATTAAACGTGGATTAAATACAGTTTGGAGTTATATGCCAGACTCTTCCCTCAGGTCTGTGGGAGCAGGGAGGAGCCCTCTTCCGATGCTTGATCTCCATCCTCAGAGCCAATTCTGGTGGGAGGGTAAGCTACATGGAATCTGAGGCTCAGAGAGGTTGAGCAATTTGCCTGGCGTCACACAGCCGGCAAGTGTCAGAGTTGGAAGGCAAATCACACATCTGGCCCAGAGCCCATTGTCCAGGCCTAAGTGAGGGGTAGCTTGACCTAGCCTGGGAGGGGATTTTCTACACGCAGGCCCCAAGAGTTGCTGACTGAGGATCAAAGCCAAACTTCAAAAGTGATGAATCTGGCAGAGGAAAGAACACTGGACAAAGAGTTAGCAGCCCCATTGTGGCCTTGATTTGGTCATTTCCTCTCTCTCTGGGTCTCAGTTTGCTCAGCCTCCAAAAGAGGGCTCAAAGGTCTTTCTCTGTGGGCCCCCCACCCCAAATGAGCTGTTAACCTTTGTCTTCAAGGACACAAGGGGGTGTTTGGCTCTGCGCTAAGCATTACATTAATCCCGACATGATACTGTCATTATACCCATTACCCAGGTCAGGAAACTGAGGCTCAAACTCATGATGTGATTTGCTCAGTCCAGATCTGAACCCAATTCTTGACCTCAGCTTTCTTGTAACAGGGTTTATTCCTGACCTAGGAGGAATATGCCCTCTTCCAGATGCAGAGCACTTTGACGGCAGGAATGGGTGCCTCCACTGCCTGGTTGCTCCCTCTGTGTTCATGGAAACGTGTGAATCTCCCTGGAGCCCCTGCTTGCCATGAGCAACCACGAGGGAAAGACCCTAAAGACCCTCACAGGCTAGGGAGGAAAACCCATGCCTAACCGCACCCCCCCCAACACCCCGCCCTGGCCACCATAGCTAAGGTCGTGACCTGCCTCCCCTTACCAGGCCAACAGCCCTTACCTGTGCCATCCACAGGCTCGATGTGGCTGGTGCAAACTGAAATCTGCTGCGAGTATGAAATATACACAGGATTCCAAAGACTTGTTACAAAAAAACAAAAAAAAACCCCTCAGTAATAATTTCTATATTGATTACATATTGAAATGATAATAGTTTGGCTGTATCAGGTTAAATAAAATACATTATTAAAATTTATGTCACTTGTTTCTTTTTACTTTTTTGAATGTGGCTACTAGAAAATTTGAAATGACACACGTGACTCGCATTTGTGGCTTTTGTTATATTTCTATTGGATAGCGCCAGTGTGGCCTCTGGCCACCAAGACCCTCAGAGTTGGGAAGAGACCCAGAGCTCTAGAGCTCAGAGGGACCTCAGGGCCTTCCTGGGACAGAAGGAGAAACTGAGGCCAGTGTAGGGCTCTTTCCCCCAACTTACCTGGCCAGTGTCTTCTGTCACAATCAGATCACCCACTTGTCCACCCGTGCTCCCACGGTGGCCAGGATGGGGTCTGACTCTCTGGTCTTGTGTCCAGGTCCCGTTCTGTGGCTTCCCCCAGGCCTCTTGTCTTTCGCCCAGTGGCAGCCCTGCCATGCCTACCCCTCCCCCCAGAAAGCCAGCCCCTTCCTCCTGGGCCTCTACTCCCTACCTCAAGGTGACCTGCAGGGCCTATTCCTTGCTAGGTCCCTGAGGCAATGGTCCCTGGACTCGCTGCCCTAGGTTCAAATAGCCATTTGTAAAGAGGACAGTGATGCTTGCCCCACTACGTTGATGTGGGCGTGTTGAAAGTGACACCATCTGCTGTCACACACACACACACACACACACACACACACAGCTGTCCACTCTGCCTCAGTCCCCCACCTCCTACTCCCATCAGATGCCTCCTTGAGCTGGGCTGGCCACTGCTCACCCCCAACAAAGGCCTGGAACCTGCTGTCATTGTGTCCCGATGTGTCCCAGGCTCCATCTACTACCCGATGTGTCAGGACCAGCTATTAGAGCACGTGGCTTTGGGATGAGGAGAGACTTCCCAGGTCCAGACCCAGCAGGTGGGTGTGTAACTTGGCCTTCGGGTGAGGGGTGACAGGGGACTCCTGGCCACAGACTGTCTCCATGCCCGCTTGGACAGGCAGAGAGCCAGAGCCCAAGACAAGGAGATTATCACCGGTGAGAGCCCCTGACTCCTAGGACCCCCTGACTCAGGACACTCCTAGAATCCTCTGCCTAATTCTCCATTTCACCTTTTGGAAACTGACAAGTGCTGGAACAGGAAAAGAAACACTTGAGGAAGTTGCTGCTGGTGAATCATAAAGTGTCCAAGGGTTAGCTTCATTATCATGTTAAAATCCCCCTCTGAATATTCATCCCAAGCCCTAATAAAAGGAGCCTGCTTACCCCTGTTCAGGGAGGCACAGCTTTGGACATTATGCCCCAAGGTCTCCTTATTTGCTGCAAATAAAGATCATTTTGAGGGCGCCTGAGTGGCTCAGTTGGTTAAGCAACTGCCTTCGGCTCAGGTCATGATCCTGGAGTCCCGGGATCGAGTCCTGGGATCGAGTCCTGGGATCGAGTCCTGGGATCGAGTCCCGCATCGGGCTCCCTGCTCAGCGGGGAGTCTGCTTCTCCCTCTCCCGCTCCCCCCTCTTGTGCTCTTTCTCTCTCTCTCAAATAAATAAAATCTTAAAAAAAAAAAAATCATTTTGAGAGGCGACGCCCCCCTGGTGTAGTCTCCGCCTGGGGCTCACCAAGGAGCGGACCCCCTTCGGTCCGGTAACAAGAGCATGCTGTGTCCGTGGGGCCTCGCACACAGTAGGTACTTGTCTCAGTCTGGTTCGCCCAGAGGCCGACTCAGAGACCACGGCTCCAATGCAGGGAGTTCATTCCAGAGGTGATGGGATGGGGGACCCAAATAGGGGAGCGGGGGGAGTGAGATGGAAGATGGGCGGCAGCTGCACAGGGAAGTGAGGCAGAGCTCAATCCTGGTAGAGACCAGTGGAAGGCAGTGTGCACCGGGCACCTGAGAGTTCCCACCTGAGGGCTGAGGATATTTACACACCAGCTTTGCTCGGTCTTGGGTGGAGGGCCGCCCCAGGCGCGGTCAATCCTGCGGGCACCGCTGGCCTGCTGGGTGCGTGGCTCTGGAGGCTGGAGAAGGGCCTCGGGAAGTGGTGAGGCTGAGCGGAGATGTGCAGGGCCCCAGCAGCTCGGGCTTCGTTCCTGGTTTGAGACCAAAGTCTTCGTGTGTTCTGGGAGCCCCAGACTGTTCCTCCCCATCTGAACAGAGCCTGGAAGAGGGAAGCAGAAGGCCTGAGGCCGTGCAGCAGTTGAGTGACAATCGAGACTGTCTGATCCCATCTGAGTCCCACGTGCCCAGCACCAGGCAGAGCATGCACCTGGGTGACCTGGCTAAGCCCTGCGATGGGTCTTCCCTTGGTCTTACGTGGGGGTAACTGGAGTAGATCTGCCTCTCCTGTAGGACAGGACCTCCTCAGCACCCCACAGACCCATAGACTAGAGCTTTAGCCCCTGGGGCAAATGCAGGCCACCCAGCCCTGCTCCTTCCCTGGCCCAGGCCCTCTTGTCCCCTTCCCAGGTTCCCCACTCCCAGCACCTCTGGTCCATCCTCCGGCAGCCTGCCTCCAAGTACATCCTGCCCCTGCTCCAAAGCCCCCCTTGGCTCCGTGCCACCATGGAGAGAAACTGCAAACCCCTGAGCCTGAAGTACAAGACCATTTGGGGTCCTTCTGGAGCTGACTTGTCCTGCTCGCCTTCTTATTTCAGGCCGCTTGCCTCTCCACCATTCCCTGTCCAGCTTTTTCTTCTCCCTGGAATGCCTTTCCCTGCAGTATCATCTTGCATCCACTATCTTTCTGATTTATTTTATTTGCTGGCAAGTGAGTCTCCCCTCCCTGACTAAATTGTCATCTTCTCTCTGCTCAGCTGTTGTGAGCCCCTCACAGCTCTCTGCCTCGGACTCCTTGAGAGTCTGGTTCATCTTTGTATATTCCCACCTGAGCACCCAGCATGGCGCATTGTACACAGAAGGTGCTCAGTAAGGGCTTACCAAAGATGTGATGGCAAGGGAAGTTGGCAAGGGCTACCTCTCCTTTCTGTTTCTCTAATGCTCTCTAGCACCCCGGGTTGTCCCCAGCCTGCCCAGGGCCTGCCTACTCCCCAGAGCAAGCATTGCCCAGGGTCCCTACCTCTACCCACCCCTGTCAAAGCTTACCTGACCTGTGTCCCATCCCAGCGACACACGACTTTTCACCTTGTGAACTCATTCCTGCACTTGCGTGCATTGGTTAATGTGTTACCTTCCAGTGAAAATGGGGGCCCGGTCACTCAAGGCAAGTAGGCTCTGGAAGGCCCTCAAAGATGGAAGCACCTTTCTCTCCCTACTCTGCCCTACTTTCACACTCCTTTTTCTGTTTCCTCTCTTCCACTTTCCCTCCTTTCCTCTCTTCCTTCTTCTTCTTTTTTTTTTTAAGAGAGAGTGGGGGGAGAGAGAGAGAATTTCAAGACGATTCCCCACTGAACACAGAGCCCGACACAGGGCTCCATCCCACGACCCTGAGATCATGACCTGAGCTGAAATCAAGAGTCAGATGCTTAACCAACTGAGTCACCCAGGAGCCCTTCTTCTCTTCCCTCCCTCCCTCCCTCTCTCCCTCCCTCCCTCCCTCCCTCCCTCCCTTCCTTCCTTTCCTCTTCCAACATTTATTGAAAACCAACTGTGTCCCGGACACTGGCCTGGGCACTAGAGGCTGATTGTGTCAAGACAAACGAAGATCCTGTCCCAGAGAAGCATACTGTCAGGGCCTCGCAGACAAGCAAATCCACAGTTGAAGCCCTGGGTGAGCGGACCTGAGATGGGGGAGCCCGGCGGCCCTAAGCTAGCTTGAGGACTGGGCTGTCAGGGAAGAAGGTCCAGAGGAGGCAGCAGAGCTTGCTTTGAAGTCACTTAGCAATGCTAGGCCTGCAGTGGGAAGGAGGCGTTACGGTAGAGGGAACAGCATGTGCGAAGCCACAGACGTGTGCAGCCGCATGGCTTCTCCCCAGGCGTGAGGGGGACCATGGAGGGCTCGGAGCCGAAGCCGGCCTCTGGCTACAGGTGGGTCATAGGCGCAAGCCTGGGGGAGGGAGTCCAGGTGAGGGACAGAGGCCTGACCCAGAGCAGGGGCCGGGGCACAGAGAACGAACGTGTTTGTGTCTTGAGGCTGCTGTGTAACAAAGCGGCACAAACTGGATGGCTTTAAAGCAACAGACATTTATTCTTTCACAGTTCTGCAGGCTGGAAGTCTGAAACCAAGGTGTCAGCAGGGCCATGTTCCCTCTGAGACTCCGGGTAGAATCCTTCATTGCCTCTTCTTAGCTTCTGGAGGTCACTGCCGGCCCTTGGCATTCCTTGGCTTGTAACTGCACCGCGCCAATCTCTGCCTGTCTTCACATGGCATTGCCACTTCTTATAAGGACACCGGCCGTATTGGATTAAGACCCACCCTGATGACTTCATCTTAACTTGATTACATGTACAAAGACCCTATTTCCGAATAAGGTCAGTCATAGGGAACTGGGGGTTAGGACTTCAACAGATCTTTTTAGGGGTTACAATTCATCCCGTTACAGAGAGGAACAGGTAGTTCCACTGAATTTCTCCCAGGGGACAGCCATGACCTTCGCCCTGGCTTTCACCTGTAAGCCCAGGCCTAACCATGGGTGCCCCCAGCCCCTGGCGGCTGGGAGCTGCCTGACCTGCTAAGACCAAATTTGGCACCATGGCGCCCTCTGCTGCCCAGGTATGGCAAGAGCAGTCTGGCTCCTGCAGGCTACAAGCCGCTCCGCCCCTTGGAGACTTCATACATTTTCAACCATGGAAAAGACCTCCATCCCGAGGCTGAGGTGGCCAACTGGAATGGCACCGAGGGTCTGGAAGCTGCAAGCACCAGCCCTTGGTGTCTGACTGACCTGGGTTTGCATCCTGCCTCTATGGCTGCCTGGTTGGGTGACCCTGGGCTTGTTGCTCAGTTTCTCTGTGTTTTGGTCGTCTCCTCAGGAGAGCAAAGGAACTGTCCATGTTCCCAGGGCACAGAGCTGAGCACAAAGTGCTCGCTCAGTACCAGGCAACTACTCATTGTTAAAATATTAATTATGTTAATAAATGAGTTAATAACTCTAATGTTCTTAAAACAAACCAGGCAGATAGTAAATACTAATGGAGCAATTTATATTCTTGGCATCTACTATTTGCCTGATTTATTCTCCTTGGATCCCTAAGGGCTTAGAAGTGCCAATATTAATAATAAATAATTCGATGACATATAATATTATTATTGGTATTTATAGGCCTTTAAGTGTCCAAGGAAATAAAATTATGAGGTTCCACAAACCCAAGATATTATCATATTGCACTAACTCATATCTCTCTTTGATTAATAAAAAGTATGTGGGGGGGAGATTATCTCATGAATTTGGAGTCAATAATACCTTAGCTATTCTTTTTCTTTTTTCTTTCTTTCTTCCTTTCTTTTGCTTAGTTCTTTCCATATGAATTAAATAAAGCTTCAAAGATGTGCTTATTTCTTGCTACAGAGAACTTTAGGAGGGTGCAGGCGGTGGCTGCAGGGGGCTGGTGAGTTCAAAACTCCCAGGCTGACCAACCATCCTGGTTGCCCAGACTGAGGAGTTTCCTGGGCTTTGGGAACTTTCAGTGCAAAAACTGGGACAGTCCCAGGATACTGAGAGAGTTGGTCACCCTAACTTCTTCCCACCTTGCTTGGGCCAGAAACTCACTCCCAGGAGAAAGACTGATTCAGATCCAGGGAGGGGTTAAGAGACAACTAATCCAGCTTGAAATCCAGTTCTGGCAGTAATTAGATGTGTGGCCTTCAGTAAATCGCTTAACCTCTCTGAGCTTTGGTCTATGAAGCTGGGATGTTGTGGATATTCAGATAAGGTGTACAAATACTTGGCTTGGAGCCTGGTACAGACAGTTCTCCAATAAACTCCTTTGGCTGTGGTTTCTACATTTCGTGTCTGGCTGCTGGCTCCTAGTTAGAGACCCACAAGTCCTCTGCCCCAGAAAGGGCCTTTGTCCCCCTGGGGAGGCCAAGGGAGGCAGGTGGTTAGGGCTGAGGCATCCCCACACTGCTGCAAGGGGCTTGGGGTCCCAGGGAGAAGGTTTAGTTTTGGGTCTGATGTGTACCTCAGTTAAGTCCCTTCTGATCTCTCAGAATGTCAATTCCCACATCTGTAATATGGGATGGTATTTGTGCCTACCTCGAAGAGTGACTGTGAGGATTAATGAGATTATACAAGGAACCCTCAGCCTGGGCCCGGGGCCTGCTCTCAGTGCTACACCAGGTACTCCCCACCTCCCCATCACACACACACACACACACACACACACACACACGCACGCATGGACTCTATCTTAATCTGGCCACACATTCCATCCCACCCAGCCCCTGTTCCAGTCCTAGCACTTACTTGCTGTGTGATCTTGGCCAGATGACTTTCCCTCTCTGAGCTCCCTTCCTCATCTCTGACACGAGGGAATGACAGTTCCCACATTGCTGAGTTTTGATGAAGATGAACTGAGATAACCCACTCAGCCTAATGCTGGACACATAACCAGTGTTGAGTTGGAGTCAGTGACTGGTAGAGCCCCAGGATGATCACACGCACACTCCTACACACACACACACACACACACACACACACACATGATCTTCCAGGTCTTGGTAGCTCCTGGGAGTCCTTCAACCACACAGGGCTTCAGCACGTAACAGGTGCACACCAAACCCTGCCACACCACTGGGCTCTGTCCCACAGACACACTCAGGCACTTGCCATGCTCTCTTGAGGGTCCCCCCATCCTCATCAGTCACCTCCCACCCAGGGCCCCACCAGTCAGCACCACTGAGGCTGATTAACAAAAAACACAACATCAAATGCCTTTACTTCTGAACTCTCCCCTTTAAGGGGAGGCAGGAAATAGAACATTCTTCCTTGGAGGGAAGGGGATTTAATTCTTAAAAAAAGGCTAGAATAAGCAAATACTGATCTGAGGCCCTGTGTGCCGTGGGCCCAGTCCCGGCTGGCCGCACCCCCGCAGCAGCCCCACCTCATTCCCCCCAGAGCTGGGGGGGGCACCAGGAGGACCCAGGGAAGGCCGGCCGGCCCCCGCCCAGCCCCTCCTCAGCGATCCAGCGGGCAGAGGGGGCTGCCGGTGGGCGGGATGTCACCACCTCAGAAAGTCCCGGATGAGCTTCCAGAGCTTCGTGACCCACAGGTTGACGCCGAGGTCCATCAGGTACTGGATCTCGGGCGTGAGCATGCGACGGCAGAGCTGCGCGTGCCGCTGCCCGATGCTCTTCTTGAGGTTGTAGCCGAGGATGGACTTGGCGCCCAGAGGCTGCCAGGGCTGCATGGCCGAGTCCTGGATGGCGGCGGCGTCCACGGCTCGGCCCCCGTCGATGCAGATGCGCCGCATGCGCTCGTTGGCGCGCCGCAGGGCGGCCACCTCGCGGGCCATGCGCTCCCGCCCGAACGCCTCCACCTTGCGCCAGAAGCTGGCGTTGAAGTGGCGGTAGAGGCGGGCGTCCAGCACGTTCCAGGCCGTGGCGCGCCGGTACAGCTCCCCGGAGAGGCGCGGCACGGCCGAGGCGCGGCGGGCGTTGAGCTTGAAGTAGAGCACGTCCTCCAGCTCCCAGCACAGCAGGTCCTTGAGCAGCACCAGGGACTCGTCGAAGTACTCCTGCAGGAGCACCAGGTGGAAGCGGCGCTCCACCTCCAGGATGTGCTCCTGCACCTGCGGGTTGCCGGGGTCCAGGCCGCTGTCGTAGCCCAGGTCGAAGAAGAGCAGGTTGCGGAGGTAGTGGGCGTTGTAGCCGTGGGGGTCATAGTAGCGGTCTGGGTCCTGCAGGAACTCGGCCAGCTTGTCGCTGCCCGAGAGCTTCCACGTGAAGGGCACCACCGAGCCGAAGTAGTGGAAGGAGGACTCGAAGAGGCGGGCGGGGTCGCGGAGCACGGTGATGAACGTGGCGTTGGGCGGCACCAGACCGCGTACCTCCTCGTAGTGGAAGCGCATGTGGTTGCAGATGATGTTGAAGCAGGCCCCGGGCCGGTAGTCCTGCACCAGGCTGCGAGCGAAGAAGGCCGGGTAGTCGAAGTCGTTGCGGCCATTGGGGAAGGCGAACTTGAGCCCGTGCTTCTGGCCAAAGCGGAACAGGATGTTGAGCAGCGTGCTGCTGGCCGTCTTGTGCGTCTTCATGAACACGATGTCGCGTCGAGGCTGGCACCCTCCCGCAGAGCCGTTGGCCGGGGTCAGGGCCTCGGGCTCACCTGGCGCCGGGGAGCAGGGCGCTGTGCCCTCCGGGGTCCTGCTGTGGATGGAATGGTGGGGAGAGCCTCAGGGGCTGCTGGGGGCCCTCAGGAGGCAGAACCCCAGCGCCCTGGAGTCTAAAGATCAGGCCTATTGGGGATGGTGGGTAGCAGGGAGGCCAGGACAGGGGACCAGACAGGCCTGTGTCCAGGCTGCGATGCTTGGGCGTGTGGTTTGGTCTCTTTGGCCTCACGTTCCTCATCTACGAAATGGGGAAAATAACAGGCCCATCTGGGGTGTTGGTGTGAGGTCAAAGTGAGACAGGCTTGCTGGTTCTTGTCTCATTCGTGGCCACCACATGGTACACGTTATCACGAATTAGCATTAGGTTGGACCACATGAGATTTTGTAGGTCGGTTTTTGACCAAAAATAATCAATTCTCGGTAATTTCCTCTAGTTCAACTTGATACCACCAACCAAGAGCACAAACCATGCCAGGCCCGGGCTGAGCAGCCCCCTGAGGAGGTGGGCTAGCCTCATGGTTAGGAGCCAGGCTTGGAGGCAGACAGAATCCAGTCTCAGCCTGGGCCCTGTGCCCGTGGAGTTCTCTCAGACAAGTCACCCCCATGTCCCAGCCCCACTGGAGCCTCAGATGAGGATAATCCCAGCCGTGTACACAGACAGTGTTATTTGATCCGCATGCTCCATGAGGCAGGCTCTGTTATTATGCCCACTTCACGGAGGAGGACACTGAGGCTCAGGGTTACACAGTGAGCTCTGCCCTAATCAGCACAATTTCTGCACATCCAGCATAGCATGATGCAGGGCCCAGGGTGCCCCACCCCACCCCCACTGCTTGGCCCCCCCGGAGAGCCACTCACGTGGAGGCCAGGCCAGTGTGCAGTGGGGGGGCAGCATAGGAGTACAGCAGCAGCAGAAGGCTGGTGAAGAGCGCTCCCAGCACCAGCCCCTTGGCCATGGACACCCAGCGCTTCTTCTGGGGCAGCGGCATCTCAGATACCTGTGGGGTCACAGAGCAGGGCAAGCATCAGGAGGCCAGCCCCAGGGAGCCTCCAGTGCTGCCCCAGGCCTGGCTGGGTCGAAGGCAGCCTTTGACATTGGCTGGCCCTTGGCCGGCTCTGTGGCCCCCCCAACAAGATTCACACAGGGACAGAGAGATAAATGCATGGAGAGACACAGCAACAGGGGTACAGACAGAGACGGTGGGCAAAGCCAATGCAGAGAGAGACTGGGGGATGGGGCAGGAAGCAGGTTCTACTGCCTGGTTCAGTTTTAATTTTTAAGGGTAGGGTGGGTACCCAGGTGTCATCAGTTTACTTTATATGTTTTGGGGCTTCGTAATGAAATCATTTTGTATTTTTTTTTTTTTTTTAAGATTTTATTTATTTGACAGAGAGAGACACAGCGAGAGAGGGAACACAAGCAGGGGGAGTGAGAGAGGGAGAAGCAGGCTTCCCGCTGAGTGGGAAGCCCAATGCGGGGCTTGATCCAGGACCCAGGGATCATGACCTGAGCCGAAGGCAGCCGCTCAACCGACTGAGCCACCCAGGCATCCCGTAATGAAATCATTTTGTAAGACAGAAAAAGAAGACCCTCTCCCGGTGCCCCCTCCCCCCAGGCCTGGGGCCAGGGCTATTCACAAGGAGGGGTCAGGGGCCTCCCTGGGCCTGAATCTCTCAGCTTCCTAAAGACCCAGCCAGACTACCTGTTTCCTGTGCCACCCTTCCCAGCTGCCCAGTGAGGAGCTGAGGCTCCTCATCTCTTTTCACTGGTCCCTGTGCCCCTGGGTCCATAGGGCAGGCAGATGGAGAAACAGGTTCAGAGTGAGGAAGGAGAGGGTTCAGTTCACACAGCCAGGCCTCTGCACAAACCTACCTCCTCTCTCTGATTGCCAGCAGGCAGGGTTGCCCAGGGAAATCTGAATTCTAGATAAACAATGAATAAAATTTGTGTAATTTTGGGCGCCTGGGTGGCTCAGTTGGTTGAGCGACTGCTTTCAGCTCAGGTCATGATCCTGGAGTCCCTGGATCGAGTCCCACATCGGGCTCCCTGCTCGGCGGGGAGCCTGCTTCTCCCTCTGACCCTCCCCCCTCTCATGTGCTCTCTCTCTCTCATTCTGTCTCAAATAAATAAATAAAATCTTTTTAAAAAATTTGTGTAATTTTATTTATTTTTAAAGATTTTATTTATGGGGCGCCTGGGTGACTCAGTCGGTTAGGCGTCTGCCTTCGGCTCGGGTCACGGTCCCAGGGTCCTGGGATCAAGCCCCGCATTGGGCTCCCTGCTCAGTGGGGAGTCTGCTTCTTCCTCTCCCACTCCCCTTACTTGTGTTCCCTCTCTCTCTCTGTCTCTCTCTGTTAAATAAATAAATAAACTCTTCAAAAAAAAAAGATTTTATTTATTTTAGAGAGAGAGCACACGCACACATGCCTGACAAAGAGAGGGAGAGAGGATCTGAAGCAGACTCCGTGCTGAGCGCAGAGCCCGACGCCGACGCGAGGCTCGATCCCATTACCACGAGATCATGACCTGAGCTGAAACCAAGTTGGGTGCTTAACCAATGAAGCCACCCAGGCGCCCCAAAAGTTGTCTTATTTATTTATTTATTTATTTATTTATTTATTAAAGATTTTATTCATTTACCTGTCAGAGAGAGAGCGCGCATAAGCAGGGGCAGTGGCAGGCAGAGGGAGAGGGAGAAGCAGGCTCCCCGCTGAGCAGGGAGCCCGATGTGGGACTCGATCCCAGGACCCTGGGATCATGACCTGAGCTGAAGGCAGCCGCTTAACCAACGGAGCCACCCAGGTACCCCAAAAGTTGTTCAATTTTTTTTTTTTAAGATTTTATTTATGTATTTGACAGAGACACAGCAAGAGAGGGAACATAAGCAGGGGGAGCGGGAGAGGGAGAAGCAGGCTTCCCACTGAGCAGGGGTCCCGATGTGGGGCTCGATCCCAGGACCCCGGGATCATGACCTGAGCCGAAGGCAGGCGCTTACGACTGAGCCACCCAGGTGCCCCAAAAGTTGTTTAATTTTAATATTGCGGGGCGCCTGGGTGGCTCAGTCGTTAAGCGTCTGCCTTCAGCTCAGGTTATGATCCCGGGGTCCTGGGATCGAGCCCCACATCGGGCTCCCTGCTCCGCAGGAAGCCTTCTTCTCCCTCTCCCACTCCCCCTGCTTGTGTTCCCTCTCTCACTGTGTCTCTCTCTGTCAAATAAATAAATAAAAAATCTTTAAAAAAAAAAAACTTAAAAAAAAAATTTTAATATTGCACAGGACATACTAAAAATTATTCAGTGTTTATCTGAAAATTACATTGGGTGTAATTTTTGTTTGTTTGTTTTGGGTTTGGGGAATTTTCGGTCTAGTCTTTTGGTCTAACTGTGGCATCCCTAACGGCAGGGGACTGAGGCATGAACTGTAAGCGGGGCAGTTCATGCTGAGGGATGGGAGCCCAGGAGAGAGCCGGGGCTCAGGGCGCCTTCCTCCCTCCCCTCAGCTGTAATACCAGGGCACAAAACTTTCCACTCCAGCTCTAACACATGCGGCATGGAGGCCTTGGGCTTTTGAGGCCACAAGAAGTCATGCGTGCTGCCCCGTGACCACACGCACGGCACGTCCCCACCATCCCTGGGGGCAGAGGCTCAATAGCCTGCCTGGAGGAGGACCCCACATCCTTCCCTCTGGGAAAGTTACCCAAGGCACCCATAAACCCTTCTCAGAGAAGGGGCACTCCAGGCCTCATCCCAGCAGCCAGCACCAGTCCCTGAGTCTTCTGCTCATCCTCTAGAAATTTCTCATCACGGGAAAGGATATAAGGAAGCAATGTGCAGAGGAAGAAACTATGCAAGAGGGAATTTGGCCTCCCTCATGACAATGACGTATCTCTGTTCACTCTTAGGTGGGCAAGGTGGACAAGTCAGGGGTAAACGAGAATGGGGGAGAATGTTTCCAGAAGGCAGTTCATTCTAGCAAAGGAGGAAGGTATAAGCTCTCCAAATTCCAACGATTCCACATAAACACTTGGGCAAAGTCCCACATGACATGGTGTTCATGGCAGCGTGGTCAGAAATTTAAAAAATTAGAAATGACCTCAACGTCCATCAGTGGGGGTCTGTTACACAAACCAAGGCCTGTTCCCAGATGGAGTCTTCTGTATCCATTAACAAAACAAGACAGAGCTAAGTGGACTGGCTCAAAAACACATCATGATCTAATAATGTGAAAAAAGAAAGTTCCAGAACACTATGCCCCCAAATCCATATATGTATACATGTAGGCCCAGAAACAACTGGAGGGCAGTATTCTAAATGTTAATAGTAGTATCCTCTGCATAGCTAGGAAAAGGGGTATACACGGGAATATTTTTCTATATTATGCATTTCTGTAACAAATGCTTTTTAAAAAGGGAGCATGTATTACTTTTTTAATTAAAAAAAGGCAATAAGGGCGCCTGGGTGGCTCAGTCGGTTGGGCGACTGCCTTCGGCTCAGGTCATGATCCCTGGGCCCTGGGATCGAGTCCCACATCGGGCTCCCTGCTCTGCGGGGAGCCTGCTTCTCCCTCTCCCACTCCCCCTGCTTGTGTTCCCTCTCTCGCTGTGTCTCTCTGTCAAATAAATAATAAAAATAAAATCTTTAAAAAAAATAAAAATAAAAAAGGCAATAAAGGGGCGCCTGGGTGGCTCAGTCTTTAAGCGGCTGCCTTCAGCTCAGGTCGTGATCCCGGCATCCTGGGATCGAGCCACGCATCGGGCTCCCTGCTCAGTGGGAAGCCTGCTTCTCCCTCTCCCACTCCCCCTGCTTGTGTTCCTGCTCTCGCTGTCTCTCTGTAAAATAAATAAATAAAATCTTTTAAAAAAAAAGGCAATAAAATGTATTTAATATATTTAAATAATAGGTGATAAAGAATGCAGGGTGGGGTAATGTGGCTAACCAGTCTGGTCATGGAGGGGGAGGTGCTGACCCCAGGCTCTGGAGGCCCCAGGCCTGTGTTTCAATCACAGGAACCTCCATGGAGCCCCAGTTTCTCATCTGTAAAATTGGGAAGCTGATAACCACCCCCCACCACCACCACCACTGGCTCTTTCAGAGATGGAGGAGGCAAAGAAAGCAATTAGCATGTAGTTACTCTCAAAGAGTGTTAGCTGTTTCCCTCCTGAGCCCCTGGGGACCTGCTCCTGGTCTCAGTCTTTGTCACCCTCAGGGTGTGCTCCCCTGAGCAAGGTGTGGCTGCTGCCGGCTCCCAGCACAAACCAGCTCATTGCATCAAGTGCCCCAATTGGGCTCCTGTCCCCTAGGGCCCACTAGAAAACAGGGCAGAGCCTAAAGCCAGGCCAGAGCCTCAGACTCGGGCCCAAACCCTGAGTGGGGCCCTAGACCTTGGGTTCTCTGACTTTAAAACAGGGGAGGGTAAAATTCCTACCCTCCCCAAATCCCCAGGGTCCACTCTTGCCCCAGCAGCCCTACTCACCAGGGCACTTTCCGGAAATCTGAGAGGCTGATGACAGAAGCTCTGGGGTAGAAGCCCAGCAGCAGGGGGCAGACCAGCTTCCCAGAACCACCAATCAGGCTCCACCTAGCCTGGCCCAGGACAGCGCCCCCAACCTCCCCATCACGGCTTCACTCATTCACTCTGCCACTTGGGCTTCCTGAAACCATGCCTGCCCTCAGGTTTCACTTTTGAGCCCCTGCTATGAGCCAGGCCCTGGGCAGGGACTTCTCTAGAGCAACTCACTGATTCTGCTTAGCTATCCCAGCAGGCTGACCCCACTGTCACTCCCATTTTGCAGATGGGGAAATCGAGGTTCCAGGAGGTGATGTGACTTGCCTAGGGTCACTCAGCAAGGCAGGGGGCGGGGCTGGGATTCAAGCCCAAGTCTGTCAGCCTCCAATATGCATCTTCCAGCTTTGTCTGTGGCAGCCCCTGCCTGGCATGTCCCAAGCCCAGTCCCAAGCCCGCAGGAAGTGTGTGTGCAGCCAGAAGATCCACCACAGGAGGCCAAAGTGTGGCTAATGGGGCTCTGTCCCAGCAGCACAGCAGGGTGTGGCCTCTGTGGGCTGGGCCAGGGCAGCCAGGAGGAAAAGTAGAGAAACAGAGGGGGCCTTGGTGGCTGGTCCCTACTGTGTCAATAGCTTGAGGCATTCGAGGCTGATGGTTCCCTTCCTGCCTGGTCTCTGTGGACTTGGGCATGCTGCTCGGCCTCTCCGTCTTAGTCTCCTCATGTGCACGATGGACACACAGCACCAAGATCAGGGCAAACAGGGCCCTTGGTAACCACAGGCAGAGTCCCTGGGTAGACCAAGGCCCAAAAAGGGGCTGGCTGGCAGCTAGGAGCCTGGCTAAGAGGAAGAGTCACGAGACTGAGATTTGAATGAGAGGATGCATGCACACAGGCAGAGATCAATACATATTAATTATTCTTATCATCACTATTGACCAGGGACCAGGTTCCCGGGCCCAGGTTTATGGGCGGAGAGATCTCCTCTGTGCCCGGCTGCAGGCAAGCCTAAGGTAACTCATCCCTGCGCTGCTGGAGCCTGGCACCAGGTAAATGTTTGATGAATGACCCCCATGACCCTCAGGGCAGAATGCAGCCAGGGCTAACACGAGTGGGTGGGAGCCACACGTGTGAGTCACACATCCGAGGGCCACCTGGGGCCAGCACCTTGGGGCCAGGGTCCTGCGTTTGAGACCCAGTTTTGCTGCTTCCTTTCTGTGTGCCCTAGGTAAGGCTGTGTCCCTCTCTGGGTCTCAGATTCTCCTCTAAAATGACGGTGCCAACTCTGCCCCCATCACAGGGCATCACGCAGATCTCCCTCGTCCCACAAGGAAAGTGCCCAGCACAGGGCTGGCACAGAGCATACACTCCCTGGGCATGGGTGGCCATCGTTATTATTATCATCATTATGATTGCCCTCCCAGGGTCCCAGTCATGGCCCCTTCAAGGTGTGTGCCCATGGCCCACAGTGGAGGC